GATACATGTGGTTCTACATCAATGGCTTTGAAAATTAATTCTAAATATATATACATGTGAGCTGAGTGTGATGGAACACAAACCTGCAATCCCAGCACTCTCCAGGAGGAGGCAGGAGGATCACCAGTCCCAGACCAGCCTAGGCTACATATTGAGAACTAGTTTCAAACTAAATAGAACAGTAACAAAAATCTGTCTGTTCCAGTCCCAAAACATTGTTTTCTTAAAAGCACTACATCTCTCTGGCCCTGGTGGGTCACTCCTGTAATCCCAGCATTTAGGAGGCTGAGGCATGAGGATATTGAGTTTGAGGCCAGCCAGAGAGACCCTATCTCAAAAAACCAGCCCCCCCACCCCCGCCCAAAGCATTGCTATTAACAATGTATTTAGATTTATACCATGTTTCTTTTCTCTTTCCTTTGTGGTGCCTGTGTGTGTATTTTTAAGTGTGTTGGGTAAACGCTCATTCACAAGAGCTTAATAAAACAAAAACCCTTTACTCCTACTAAATAATAATAGTCTGGTTAGCAATCCTTTCCAAACATGAAACTATTATGAAATAACACATGCCACAGTTGTCCTGAGGAAGGTTTCACTCACACCCAAATGATTGGTAATTGTATGTGAGCAAAGACCAGTTTCTCAAGATGCCACAAACAGTATCTTGAATGTGTGGTCAATAAAGAATTAAATCAAAGAATTAGGTCAGGGGAGGATGATCACAACAAAATTATTCCAGTCCATCCCTAGTACCTAAAAACAAAGCCGGCCTCTTGATCTGGAAAGATGAACAAACCAAAAGAAATCAAACCCAACCATCCCATAATAAAAACTCTATGACGACTTTCCTGCTCGGGGGGGTGCCCAGGGTTTCCTATTTCACTTCCTAAATGTTAGGCCATATAATGGGCGATGTAAGGTACCCGCCTTCGAAGGCTCAGGAACCCGGTGCAGAAGGAGGACATGGACTAGACCCCCAAGATCCAAGTGCAGGGGAGATTCCATCACAGAACTGAGGAGCAGAGAAGGAAAAGTTAATTCTGCCTTGGGGTGGGCTGGGGCGTGGGTGGAGTTGGGGAGGGTGCGTAGAGGCGGAGAGGTGACTTTAGGTAGCTAAAGCGGAGGACACAGGAATCCTCCCCACGAGGAAGCGACTGAGAAACGAGGAAGCGAGTGAGAAGCTCCGAAGCTCACCCACTCGGTGCCGCCCCCGGGCCGGGCCCCATCCCCTCCCGCGACCCCTCCCGGGTCCCTCTGGGGCAGAAGGTGCAGGGGGAGATCACGGACGCTCCCCAACCTCAGCCGCGGAGGCTGGCGGCACCCTCCCCTGGCAAGGACCGGACGGGGGCGCCGCGGGCCCCACCCAGCACTTCGGGCGGCAGCGATACCTCACCCCATGCCCGCCGCCGCGCCGCGGACCGCTCCCCACCGAACGCGGACACTCACTTTCTCGTGGAAGATGGACTCCATGTTTATTTGTCTGGAGCCAACGGCCCCCGCGCCCAACCCGGCCCTTCCAGCTCCGCCCCCAGCCCCACCCCTCCTCCCTCCCCACCCCACCCCGCCCCGCCCCGGTCCTGCCCACGTGCCTGGTCCAGGCCAATCATCCCTGAGGACGCGAGTCACGTGGAGCGAAGAGAGCGTGAGCGCCGGGGCGGTAAATGAGGAGACACGTGACCTTGGTAGCATGTCCTCATATCGCCTGTTACATCGTTGTCTGAGTGGTGCTGCGGCGCCATCTGCCGTCTGGACGATCTCCGTCTTCCGCCCACTGCTATAAATTCCGTTTCTAGGGGTCTGGGTGAGGCCCAAGGTCAAGTTCTATCTTCTTTTTGCTTTTTCACTTTGTACTTTTTGGTTATTGTATCCGCATGTAGTTACCTAATATCTCTTCCTCCCCCCCCCACCGAAAGTCTTAAGAAAAAGGCATCATTGCATTGTCCCAATACCTCAAACTTGTGTAAAGTGATAGTTAATATTTAGCTACGGCTTAATGTAAGCTAGGCACTCTTCTAAGTGCTTTGCATATAATAACGAATTTGATATAGCAAATGTGGGTTTCGATGTGGGTGTTGTTATAATTCATGTTAGACACACAAGGAAACCAAGGCCTGGTTAAGAAAAGCGCAATGTGTAAGATGAGAAGAAGGTTGCATTGTCAGGATAAAAAATCGAAGCAGCTTGTTGCCGGCATAGGTGCTCTGGCCTTGAAGAGGATGCATTAGTTGGGGAAGTGAGAAGTCTAGCAAAATGGTGGTGGTGTGGGGGGGAGGGGGGACTTGACGAAGCTTATAGGGCAGGTACAGATGTTACAACTTGAAACCAGATAAGGGTGTACACCTTAAAAAGACAGTGAGGAGTATAGAAAGATTTTAAAATAAGAGAGGAGGTCAGATTTGCATTTTAGAGGGATCACTCTGGCTGCAAAGAGAGTACTTGAAGGAATCTTGGGAGAGATGATGGTCTGGACTAGGGTAGTGACTCGAGGATGGAGAGACTGTTTTTTGAGATAATTAGGAAGTGGGGAGACTCAGCAGAACTTGGTTTTCAAGAGCAAGGCAGACAGAAGAGCTAGGAACGAATTTTGGGTTTCTGCCCTACACAGTCTCTGTGGCATGAGCAGTCTTCATTGAGATCAGAAACACTGGAGCAAGGTGTTGGGGAAAGTCTCTTCATTTTGGAGATAGTGAATTTATCTGTGCGACATGCAAGTACTTTTGTTGACTAATAGGTATCAGTATGCAGTTCAGGAAGCTAGTTTTAGGCTGGAGGATGGGGGTTTGCTGATATAAAAATGTAATTGAAATAAGAGTGAACAAAAGCATCATAGAGAAGAGGAAGAGATTGAAAGGAGGACCAAAAGCTAAGCCTTGAGGATAAAAAAAGCAATTGCCAAGGAAGAGGAGGGTGGAAAAGCAGGAGTGTGTAATATTATAGAAACCCTGGAAAGAGAAGGCTTCAAGGACTAGTGTCATTTGCTGCTCAGTCAAGCAACACAGGACTGAGAAGAGACCACTCGATTTTTTTCTTGTCTTGCACACCATTTTGGTCAATGCAAGTTCAAGAGAAAGAGCAGTGAGAGGTAAGAGGATAGAGACTGCCAATGAGAAACAGGTACTCAGGAGGGGATGTGACCATCATTTATTGAACATCTCTGCAAGCATGGTTTGCAGTCCTGTGCAGGAGAAAGTCCATAATCTTAAGGAACTGTGGCTTAACTGGGGAGATAAATTATGTTGTTATGAAGTGAAAATTCCAAACATTTTCTGGTATTTTCTTTTAAGTTACTATTGGTGTCTTTCAAGTGAATAAACGAAACAGGCTGCTATAACAGAATACTTATACTGGGTAATTTATCAGCAGCTCACAATTCTGGAGGCTGGGAAGTCCAAAATCAAGGCTCATGCAGATCTGGTGTGAAGTAAGGGCCTTATTCCTCATTGATGGTGCCTTCTCTGTCTTCACTTGGCAAGACCAAAAGGGACAAAGAGGCTCCTTGTGGCCTCTTTTATACTGGTATTAATCCCATTCATGAGAGCTGGACCTAATCACGTGACCTACTCACATTCCAAAGACTCCACTTCTTAATACTAATACATCAGGGATGACATCAGGATGAGCTTTGGAGGGACACAACATTCAGCCTATTGCACCAAGTATCTGGGAATCATTCTTCAGTCCTTTCCCACACCACTTCCACCTTGCCCCTTATCCCAGTCAGTCCTCAAATGCTATACATTCACTCATCTCACCTGTTTTCCTTGCCACTGCCTAGTTCAAGCCTTCTTGGTCTCCTGTGTAGTCCACTCCAGGGAACTCTGAATTGGTCTTGTGATTCCAGTCTCAATATGTCCAATTCATAGAATTGATCTTTCAAAAATGCTCTCACACTGTTTTTCTTTGCTTTTTTGAAGTACTGGGACTTGAACCCACGGCCTTGTGTTTGTTAGGCAGGTGCTCTACCACTTGAGTCACACTACCAGCCCTTCGCCAGCTTTTCTTTTATTGAATAGAGTGTTGCTATATATCAGGCACTGGCATTACAACCACGATTTGATTTTCAAAAGTAGTTCATGCTTTGTGTCTCACATTTAAAAAATCTTTGCCAAACCCAGGGTCACTAAAATTTTCATCTGTATGATTTTTGTCAAATCAAATTGTAGCATCATCCTTTTAAAGTCCACATTAAGCACTTAGTCTGCTTTGTGTAAATGTAACGAAATACCTGAGGCTGGCAAACTTTATTAAAAAAAGGTTTATTTTGGCTCATGGTTCTGGAAGTCCAAGTGCTACATCTTGTTAGCAGAGTCCTGAGGTGGTGTAGGGCATCACGTGGCAAAAGATAGGAAGCACATCTCTCTCCCTCTTCTCATAAAGCTATCAGTAATTCAACAATGGGAATTCCACCCTGATGCCCTTATCTAACCTCCCAAAGGCTCCAAGTTCTCTGCACCAAAGCTGGATAGAGTTTCCACTCTCTTAATACTTTACAACGGAGCTTACACTATAACACATGAAGTCTTGAGGGATATGCTGAAACCATACCCAAACCATAGCATCATGCCTTGAAATTTTTTTTTTCCTGAAAAATATCTGAGGAAAAACCTGTATGTATGACTTAATAGTACTGTGATCCAAAACTGAGAAACAGAAAATTCAAATGCTGATTACAAATTTAACACTTCTGTATGTAATCAAGTATTCAATAATTACTTTTTAAGCCAAGTGTGCTTGATACTTGAAGATTACCTAATAAAACATAAAAAAGAAGTACAAAAGACTGCCTTTATGTACTGTGTACACATGTATATAAATGGAAACCTATGGGGGGGGAAGGATAAAGGAGAATGATGGAGAGGGTGAATTCAAGTATGATATATTTGATATATTGTAAGAACTTTTGTAAATGCCACAATGTACTCCCACCTAGCACACTAATAAAATAAATAAATAAAAGTATAATAGGAAAAATAAGTGTAAAAAGAATCACAATTCAAATTCTTCTAATTAAATAATAACTGAGTTTTTATTTCTTCCATAACTTTAAAATGTGAACATCCTGTGATTAGCCAGCCTTTACTTCCAGGTAACTTCTTCATTGGGCCTCAATTCCCTGTGTGGAAAGAAATCAGGAAGCAAAGGGAAAACTGAGTACAACTTTCATGGAGGGGGAGTCAGAAAAATACTTTGTATCTATTAAACTGATCTATTTAAAATTTTTCCATTGCATTCATCATAATTTTAAACTTTCCCCATATCTTCATTTTTTTCAGATAAAAGAACTGTAATCTCTGGGTGTATATGACAGCTATACTCCTTTCACTGAGCTCATTCAAAGTTTTCTAGACCCTTTCCAGCTCATTTCATCTTTCTTGAAATCCCTGATTTGTGAACCACTTGTACAGAGTAACTGTGGACACTGCTTAATCCTCTTTCCTTCTGAGTATCTTCCAATCCAGGTAGATACACACCTCTGGGCACAAATCCAGCCTTGCTAGCCATGTCTAAAGATACAATGGGACCGACAAGGATGCTGCTGGTTGCTATCACTTAATCAGCATGTGTATACTGAGAAAAGGGAGTATGTTGAGAACACAGTATTGAACCACTATTACTACTATTTATTCTACCCACACCATGGATTAAGTAAATTAGTGTATGATAATATATGTGAAAGCTATATGCATGGGAGGCTTTGGGAAGCTGGCTTAAAATTTTGTTTTTATACTTAAATATACTCTGAGTTTAAAATAAATGACCTTTTTAAGATCTGAAGTAGCCAGTTTATAAACTGAAAATTGTTTACATTCCAAAGGTAGTCATACAGTTTTATCCAAGGACTAAATAACAAACAAGCTTAAAAATCACTTGGATCTAAATCCTCAGGGTGGAAAAATCACCCCTCTTTTTACCTTTGGCACATATCAAGAGTACTCCCCAAACTTGGTCAATTGTGAGATCAAAAAATTCATGAACTGCCATGGCCTGGTGGCTCATGCCTGTAATCCCTACAATGTGGGAGGCTGAGATTGGGAGGATCACTGTTCCAGGCCAGCCTGGGCAGTGAGTTCTCGAGACCCTATTTCAACCAACAGCTGGGCATGGTGGTATACCCCTATCATCACACTACAGCAGGAAGTGTAAATGGGAGGATCCTAGTCTAGCCAAAAAGCAAGAACCCTATGTCCAAAATAACCACAGCAAAAAGGGCTGGCATGAACTAACCTTTTATATAAAAGACTCTTGTTCCGGAAGGCAGTTAGCCTTTCATCATTCTTTCTGTCTAGGAAACATCCAAGGACAAATCCCGAAGGGACAAGTATATGAACCCAGTGGTCACGCACAATCTGAAGGAGGCTCACCATGATGGCTAAAAAAAAAAAAAATAATTAGAAACAAAAAATATGTAATTGCCTTTGAAAGAATAATTTTTAAAAAGTCAACCTGAAAGTACAATAATGATTAGTAGGGACAGGGAATGGTGGGGGTGGAGGGCACAGGGTAGAAGGATGGATGGATGTAATCAATGCACGCTGTATGAATGGGAATCCCATTAATATGTGCAATTAGTGTGTTAATAAAAAGTAAAAACGAAATATCTTTTAACCTGCCTTTAAAACAGGAAGACAGCTGTGGATATGAGAAAGCTGTGATCCTCAGCATCAGAATGAACTTGATGAAGATTAGTACAAAAATTTACACACACACAAAGCTCTAGTTAGTAACCTTTATTTTTCACTTCACACTGATTTGATGATATAGAACTAAGAAATGAAGAGAATTTTAAAAATTCTACCTGTGGGTTGGGGGTGTGGCTTAAGTGGCAGAGGCCCTGAGTTCAAATCCCAGTACCACGAAAAAAAGTCTGAGAAAAATTTTTTATAAAACCATATTTAATAATATCACAAAAAGATCAAAATATCAACTAAATGACTCTACAAAAGAGAAGGGAAGAGGACACTTATAGGATGACCACTAGGAACTAGGGCCATCATTTATTTCTGTATGTAATGTAAAATAACTATTATCCTCATTTTACAAATAGGAATACAACTTAATCAAGTCGGTATGAAGTGCAGAACTGGAAATCAGGTTCAAGTTCACTCCAGATGTTTGCCTGAATTGATATTTATGGTACATGAAAGCTTTTAAGCTGCATCAATTTCCAAAAGGCAGAGGAAGAGGAATAGAGCTAGTCAGTCATCACATGAAAAATAACAAATATGCGCTAATTAAATAAGCACAGTTCAAATGCCAATTTTCTGTTAAAATTCATACATACAGATGAAATAAAAGTACACCTATGTGCACAAAAATAAATCACATACAGTGGCTGAGAAGATATGACAACACTCTAGAAGAAGCAATACATTACTGCCAACAAAATCCTCAGCATAAGCCAGGCTACGTAGACTCAGTTCCTGCTTCTTTGACATTGGTCTGCATGCTTACAAAATTCTAATTTTCTCCAACTTTACTTAAATACTCTTTACCTAAAGTCACTTGGTTAGGCCATGGCCATATTGTTAAAAGTTGCACAATTACTATGCACTGTCACTTATAAATAATATGTAATACTACACATAGTAGGTTCTAGTCTGAACACCACTCATCTAGAAAATTATAAGTACACAATGAGACATTCAATTGTTTATTTACAATTTAGTCATGAATTAGTTTTAAGTTTTAGTCTGTTGTCTATAGCTGGAGTTCTCAACTTTGACCACACATCAGAATCAGCTGGGATGTTTTTTGAAAATAGGGACAGTTGGCTCCACCTCCACGGTGAAGCTAGAAAAAAATCTGTTAGTGAAGAAACTTCCCAGCTGATTTTGATATCAATGCCTCTTGTGGTATAAATGTTAGTGCAACCAGTCTTACTTTATTTCCTATAAGATGGTAGTTCTCTTAGCACTGTGCCTTCATTAAGTAACATTACCTTATATTTAGATCTTAAAGTACTTTTTGTTATACCAAGTTAACTGCTTATTTGCTTCATAAACTTGAACCAGTGAAGTATGGCAATAATGAAGGCTTTAAATGGGGTAATGTAGCTTTCAAAGCACTAAACTGTAAAATATTAAGACAATATGCCTGTGTTCATGTGACCTTCTGTTTAAATTAAGTCAGCAGTCATCTACTCTGTCCTTATTATCTATTATGTCCTTATTAGGCTCCACAAATTTTTGAAGAGTTTTCAAGTCTACCCTCAGCACAGCTGTTAGATATCATTTGGTATTTAGCCTGTAAGTACTTGCTGATTCCCAGTTCAAAAGCTTTAAATAAGACCATTGTCACCTGTGGGCTATAAGCCCCGTGCCCACTGGCATTCTTTTTAAGGGGGCCTGAAGCTAACAATTGGTTTGATTTGGTTCTACTATGAACAGAAGAGCTCAGGCAAGCGCCCAAGGCTCTTGTTGCATGTGGGTTCTTACAAACTCCAGAAGTAATGGCAGTGGGGCTGGTAAAAGGATTCTGTACAGAATCCAGAATTGGACTCAACCACCTGAAGGACCATCCCTAAGAGGTAAGAGACAAATCTCAGTCCCAGAGGTATTTCCGTTACAACTGTACAATCTACCGCGGGCTCTGGAAGCAGCACAATGGACATCATTTCTTCTGTATGTTCTTCTGCAGGTGGATAACCAGGGAGGACAAAGACTTACAGACATAAGAAGTGAGTCAGAATGATTCCCCACAGATTGGCTAGGAGGGGGAGGGTGGACTGGCCCGTTATCATGGGCCTAAATCCCTGGAACTTTATCTGACAGGCAAAGAGCAGTGGGGTTAGATAAGAATGTTAGAAGGATAAAAGTACCAACTGCTTTTGGGAGTGAATGCCCCGAGGCTGCCCATGAAACCACTATGTGTATTATTATTTGTGCCTTCTTTATATAAGGGCCTGTAAGAAAAATTGTGTTTTTACTGCAGAACCAGAAGCACCTATGATATTCCTGAAAGAGGAACTGGGTTTTATCTTAAGGACTTGAGGAGTCATATATCTTTTCTTTCATTTGGGGAAGGAGTTTTGGAAATCCAACCCAGAACTTTCTGCAAGAACACACTATCACTGAGCTACACACCCAACTTTTGGTCATGTATTTTTTGGGTTTCTTCTAGGCCTCGAATTATGGAGCCTCCTGCCTCGGCCTCCTAAGTGCTGGGGTTACAGATATATGCCACCACATCCGACATGTATCTTTTAATATGGAAAGTATCTAAAATTTTTAGCATACGTTTATCAAAAGCTGAATCTGGGGCTTTTGTTTGAGACGGGGTTTTGCTATTAGTTGCCCAAGCTGGCTTTGAACTTGCCATTCTCCAGCCTCAGCCTCCCCAGTAGCTGAGGTTTCAGGTGTGGGTCACCTTGAAAAGCGGAATTTCACACTCCTAAGTATGGTTTTTGCATAATCATAACCCATTAAATCTTCACGGTAGCACTATACATGTATTATTAACCCAAGGTCCCCAATGCAGTGGGCATTTTTTTTTTTTCTTAGATGGGGCAATCAAGGGACAATCTTGGTACTTTGCCTAGGATCACAGATGCAGCAGGTTGTAGAGCTGGGGGTCAGTACAGTACCCAGGCAGTCTGGCTCCTTAGCCCAAGTGCTTCTATTTTATTGGCTGTAGGGTATGCAGGTAAACATTAACCTCATTTCTCACCTTTTAATTTTTTTGGTCTTATTTTTCCTAATATTTCCTTTCCAACCCAAATTTCTTCCCCTTATAAAAAGAAAACTGTACCTGGTGTGATCTTATTTGGTAAGCTACTCAGAATTCACGTTGGAAACGTAGATAACTACACATTTATACGCACAGTTTTTTAAATTGCCCCCCCACATAGCTCTTTATATGCACCCCAAAACAGGACTGGTCATATGGAGCAATCTAATTCCTTGAGGTCTTAATGCCATATACGTTCTGGAAACCAAGCCCAAGTTTTTAAAAAGCCAAGCGCTAAGTGCGCGTTGTGTGGCATGGTCGGGTCAGGAAGGTTGAATTAAAAGACAGTAAGGTTGGCCAGGAGCTGCTCCTTGGTCGAAAGTGAGACATTCCTGGAGCAGTCCCTTCCCTGCTCCTCCGCAGTCCGGCCAGGGGTGGGCACTGGGTCATCCCTAAAGACGCTTTCCACTTAGGACAGGCTTGGAGCATCCTTTCCAAAAGCTGCTGAGCGGGAAACGCGTACCCAGCCGTCCAACCGTTGACACCCCAATTTATTTCCCCCTCACCCTCGTTGGAGAGGCCCAACCACCCCTCCACTTGCACGCTACACCGCCCAGGACTTTCCCAGAACCCTCCCCGCCTATATAACGGCGATCAACGGCGGCCCGGGTCCCCAGACCCACCTGCGGCCCGGGTGGCAACAACGACCCTATGGCCAAGGGCAGCCAGCTGCAAATTCCGCCAGCCGATCCGGCCGGAAGCTGCGACCTCGGTAGAGTCCACTTGCCGGGTCCGCACAGACAAGAGGGGTGGCACGGCAAATAACTCTTATTTCTTCTAGTGTTAGAGTCTTCTCATGTTTTTACACTTAAAACGTCAGGAATTTCTTAATAAAACTTGGGTCGGAGATAACGAGGTTTGTTAACGTCAGCGCTTTCGCCTTCCCACAACTCCGGTCCAACGTTCCTCCCCCCCCCAAAGTATGGTATCGTCCAAATCTTCCCCGCCTCAGCGGTTCCCCTCCACGCTCAAAATGGCGGCCGCCAGTGAGGGTCCTCCGCCGGCCGGTCTTCACCGCTGCTGCTGAGCAAACAGCAGATTTTCTCCCTTTTGAACCTGGATTCGACTAGGGGTTGGGAAGGGCAGAGGACGCCATTGGCGGAGGCCTGACGAGGCAAGTGAGGGTGGGAGAAAGGAGCGCGCCTTGGAATGGGGAAGGGGGCGTCCTAGGCTCGGGGGAGATCCCGGCCGCCGACGCAGTCTCCCCGAAGGACAAGCTCCCGTGGTTTCGGTTGCGACTGGTTTGGTCGTTCCTGGCCGAAGTGCTCTGCGACAGAAAGAGAGAAGTGATTTTTCCGTAGGTCGGAATCTCTTGGGTCGTGCTCGCTCTTCTACCTTTTCTACTGGTTCCGTCTGCCCTTTAGCCTCTTGGCGCGGGAGGAGTGGGTCCGGGACCAGCTCTGGATCAAGCCTCCCCATCCAGGGTCTTTTCGTGCTCAAAGACCACCAGGATAATAAGCACTGGGCACAAAGTAGACGTCCCTTTTTTCTGGTGGGACTGGAGCACATCTCTGGGCCATTTTGCTCTGGGTATGTTTTTGGAGTTTGGCGGGGTTTGGGGGGGGTGAGGTTGCGAACTATTTTTCCCGGCTGGCCTCGAACCCTGATCTTCCTGATCTCAGCCTTCCAAGTAGCTAGGATATCAGGCGTGAGCTACCGGCGCCGGCTAGTCGGTTTCCTTTTAGCTCATGAACTTTAAAGGACCTTTCAGATGTTGGTTCCATGTTTTATTAGAATTGTCTCGTCTTCTGTGCCCTCCCGCCATTACTCTCTAGCGCTTCCACTATCGCTGCAGTTTGCCAAGGCTCATTTTTGCTCTAAGAGGTCGAGCTAGCTCTAGCCCCAGTAAGTCCGGCTCCTGTGACCAAGCAAACCTGAGACGTCGTTTATGCCCATCCCCTAACTTGACCCTGTTATGAAGCACTGCTGACCCTGAACGCTGGGAGAGGATTCCTCTGTCTGAGCTTCAGGGCTAACCCAGACTTCTCCTTTTGGCGTTAGATTTTTCGTGCTTCATAGGGTTGTCATCAACATGCATACCATTATTGAGAAAGCAAGTAACTGACAGATTTGCAATGAAGTAGTGTTGGTCAAAACCACTACTGTAATTTATGATCTGATGAGGATTCACTGCTTTCACCACACATTTATGTTGCAGTGAGCAACATAAGTGAGTACTTGGTGTTGGAGATGCAAAAATTGTCACTTTTCCTCTATACACTCAACATCCACTTAGCGAATATTCTGTGTTTCTCCTTTGTGCTAACAACTATCTTCAACTGGGACAGTGAAAAGATTTTCTGAAAGAGTTAATATTTGAGCTGGGCCATGAAGGATCAAAAAGAAATGGCTAGATTCAGGAGGAGGAGGTCACTCCTGGATGCAGAACAGGGGTGAAAACTTGAAGTCTGGGTATGGTTAGGGAGAGTGGGAAGGTAAATGTGCTTGAGCGTGCAGAGAAAAGGTAACTGGTGAAGAAGCAAGAAGTAGATTGATTTCCAGCGAAAGAGTTTAGGTTTCATTCAGTAGTTACCAGGAAGCCAATGGGTAGGTACTCTGTGTGAGGAGTGGGCATTTGGATATTTGTTTCTTAGATAGTCCCACTGCCAGATGTGTGGCGGATCAACTTGGAACAGGAAATCTAGATGAGAGGAAATTACAATCATTCAGGTAAGACCAGTGCCTGCATTAAGGCAGGACAGTAACAAACATCAGAGAGACTTAAGTAAATGTCAGAGAGGGTTCAAATGATGACCACCCATTTGCTGGTAAGGTGACTAGTCTTCAGTTTGGGAGATTTTATGGTTGGTGATATCATTAAAGTGCAGTCTGAGACATGTACGTAAAAACAGGGTGGTGCCAACCTGTGCTTTAGGAGTAACAAAACACAGTCCTCCACAGTCTAAAGTATTGATTTTAGAGTCTAGATCTGTGCTATTACAGGAGCTGCTAGCCACATGGCATGTGGTATTGAACCCTTGACATGTGGTCAGTTTGAACTGAAATGTGCTCTAAATATATACACTGGGTTTTGAAGACGGTACAAAAATTTTTTTAAATATCTCAGTGTTTTAATGATAACATGCTAAAATGATATTTTGAATATGTCTGGTTGTAAAAATTTAATTTCACGTGTTTTTACTTTTGAATGTGGCTATGAAAAAATTTAAAATTATATCTTGGCATGTGTTGTATTTCTGTCTAGTCTAATCTGACTGATGTTGGGGAAATTAGGAAGGAGGAGGAATTTGAACTTGGCCTTGAGATAATGGTAAGCAGTGATGTCAGGGCAGCTTCTGGCACCCTCCATTGCCAGTATTATTTTTCCTCAGGCAGGAAGAAACTTCCAAATATTTTTGAGCAATGGGTAATACAGTAGGAGTGCTTTCAGAGATGAAGGGAGGACAAGTTGGAGCAGAGAAATGGAGAAACCGGATGAAAGATAATGAGGCCTTTCTTTAAGGTTCTGGCAGTAGGAACAGAAAAGGAACAATATTCATGCAAGGAATTCTGAGGGGAAATAATCTGGATTGATACTATCCAAGAAAAAGTAAAGTGAAGAATCAGACATAGACCTTCAAGCTTTGGTTACTTAGATAACAACTAATGAATTGCTATTGTAGGATTATAAAATATATTTTAAGTTAGAGAAATTTAGTCCCAAAATAGAACCAGCAAAGTTGAGAGGAATACTTAGTAGTTTGCTACATAGTCTTCCCTGTTATCTCCCTGCTTTTTGTTATCTATTCAATCATTCACACCAGCTAATTTTCCTAAAGTAAGAATTGTCTATATCATGCCGTTTTTCTACCTGTTAGGAAATCTTAAAATGTTTGTTTCCTGTAGAACCATTTCAAAGGTTTACAAGCCCCTTCATCACTTGGCCCCTTTCTGTTCAATAAGCTTTTTTGTTGTTTGTTCCATTTTTTGGCTCAGTGAGTGCCAGGCTAGGTTTTACTGACACTCTAAGTTTGTGTTTTGTGCTTTTCCTCATGTCAGTCCTGTGTTTTGAAAACCTCTCTTTCTACCCAGGTTTTACAAATATTTAAGGAATAATCTTAAATTCTGCCTCTTCTATGATTCTCAATAACACAAGCGACTGAGAGTTTTAAATCTTACTTCCTTTCTTTTTCTTTTCCCTGAGATGGTCTCCCGTTGTAGCCCAGGCTAGCATTGAACTTGTGATAGTGCTGGGGTCACAGGTGTGAGCCACCATACCCAGCTGAATCTTATTTTCTCAACTACATAATCTCCTAATTATAGCTAACTTGGTTCATTATTATGTCTTTTATATATTATTATCCCTATTTGCTTTAGGTAAGCTTAAGCTTCCTAAAATTATGGCAAGTTTCTTTTTTAAAAATAGACCATATGTGGCACATGTCTGAAATCCCAGCACTTGATCAAGGCAGGAGAATCACAAATTTGAGGCCAGATTGAGCTTCATTGTGAGACCCTGTCTCAATTTTTTTTTAAAGAGGGACCGTGTAGGGTTGGGCATGGTGGCACATGCCTGTGATCCCAGCACTTGGGAAGCTGAGGGAGGAAGACTCATGAGTTTGAGGTTAGCCTGGGCTACAAAGTAAGGTCCTGTTTCAAAAAAAACAAAACAACATAAACCTATTTCTTGTTGTTAATGGTGTCTTAGGGAAAGATATGCAAGTTAAAACACCATAATTTACAGAAGTAAATCATTACACCACATTTATGAAATTTTTTTTTTTTTTTTAGATTTGTGAAGAACTCTTCATCTGTGTTCATGGTGTTTCATATATACATCAAATATTGGTAATGACTGATAATGATACAACTTGATTATGGGGCCTATAATAAAATATCTTTATCTGCTAAAATCGGGGTCTTTCCACAGAAAGTTTTACTAGCGAATGAACTCATTCACTAGTATCTTCAAGCTGCTTTGTATTTTGACTTCATAATCTAAATGAAGAAAGTAGATTTGAGCAGAAAGAGTTTCTCTTAAGCCCTTAGTATAATTGTGGTACAAGCTTTTTGGCAGGGAGAATTTTCTAGGTCTTTTCCAGAAATGTACTTGTAAACCTTTTTTATCAAATAGAGAATTGATGTCTCTGTGCTTCTCATGCCTCAAGTAGGAACACACTAAGTCAATGTATTTCAAATTTTAACTTAATAATTACTTATTGAGCAGCTATTATGTGCAGGGTATGTACTAAGGTACCAACAGATCGAGCCTAGTTCTACATTCAAGAGTTCTCCCAAGTGAAAGGAAATACATGTAGATAGGTAACTGTTAGTGGTTAGTAAGAGCACGAAGCTCATTTAATACTAGCAATGTCTTATTCATTCACTCCAGGATCATTTATTGAGTACCACTGTGTGTTAGGCACTAGAGCCATTGGAATTCAGCTGATCAGTAAGGTCTGTACCCTCATGAAGTCCACATGCTAGGGTGGGGGTCAGTAGGAGAGAAGGGGCAAAGCAAGTAAAGAGCAACTGCAGAGAACACTAAGTATTTTGAAGGAAATAGAATATGTAGCGTGGAGAAGGATAGTCAAAGAATGGCTCAGAATAAACCGAAGCAAGGAAATACGTTATTAGCTAGAAATAACAGTAGAGATAAAGGAAATTTGAGGAATGTGAGTTAAATGAAACTACATTACTGGAAGTGCTCTGAAGCCAGAGCCTGTGCGCATTTCTCTGGTTGCTCAGTAGCAGTTAAATAGATGGGGAATTGGAGTCATGTTTGTGAAGAAATTCTGAGAAATTTTGCTATGAAAGAGAAATACAGAAGTAATAACAGTAGTTGTTGGTGGTGTAAGGTTAAAGGGGTTCTTAGAAATTGCAAAGTTCTAGAATGTGCTTGTATGAAGGGGACAAAGAGGATGACTATGGAAGTCGAGCATTAGGAAGGGGAGTAACAGTGCACAGGGAGTCTGGCCTTGGATGGGAACAGGGCTGTTTACTATAACACATGCCAGTAGGTTAATAGATGTGGTAGAAAATGAGGCATTACTGTCTGTCTGGTTACATTTATTTTCTGAGTGAAGAATGAGGTGAGATTATCTGCTGAGAATAGAGAGGCAAAGGGGGACAGTGCTTGAGCAAACGGGTGTGAAGTAGTCATCTGCTATGAAAAGTAGCCTGAAGACAAGCAGGTGTATAGCCTGTTTGAGATCTTGGCCAGAACTTAAACAGGAAACAGCACAGTTGTGTCACCTCTGGCAACATGTAGCTGCTGAAGTAGACAAAGTCAGTGACTAGAGATAATCAGTGTTGGGTTTTTGACAGGTTAGTTCAAAGAAGGACTAGAGGAGCAAGATACTTGAGAGTGCAAAATAATTATGGAAGATCATAGATCAATGTGAAGACCTGAGTAGAGGCAGGAAGGGTTTGTGGGTAGTGAAAAAGTTGGCAGTGGATTAGAGATACCAGTGAGGCCAAAAGATTTTTGTAGTGGAAATACTTGAGCAAGTAAGGTAGAAGTGAGAGTGAGATGCTTAAAGTTACCTTTTTGAAAGTTACCTTTTGAAAGTGGTGTTTGCACTAAGGTCTAGGATGTAAGTGTGATGGGGGCAAAGTGAAATCAAGAAAGTCAAGGTGTACTGAGAGGTCAGTTTTGAAGTTACTGGCAAGAAGACCTGTTCAGGAGCTAAAAGTCTTAAGCAGATCATCAGGTCAGGTTATAAAAGATGCCTGCACCGAGGAGGAAATCTGGAAGGCTAATACGGAACGAGCTGGGTGGCATGAGCTTTATTTGGACTGGAGTATTTAAAAAAGGAAAGAGAAGGCATAGTACGGAAGCTGTGGCTTTTGAGGTCCAGAGAGTACAAGAGATTTATTTTAAAACAAGCTCTAGAGAAAGCTGCAGGAGAAACAGAATCATTAGGGAGGTCAGGTTTCTGTGAAGACATTAGGGAGGTCAGGTTTCTGTGAAGACAAGCAGGTGAAGAGAATTTTCAGAAAAGAGGTTGAAGTTATAGGTGAGTAGAATCATAGCCCAGAGACTGAAAAGATTTAGAAGAAGAGGCAGGATTGGGTCCAACAGAGAGATACACACAAGTGATAATGGATGACCTAGAAGTCTTCAATTTTTATCTGTAACCCAGGTGAATGAGTACGTGTGGTGGATTAGTGTCTGGTGAGCCTATTAGGAAAGGTGGACAGTCACCTTACCTTCATTTGTTGATGACTTTGGTAGATGGTGAGAGATCATCAGGAATGTGGTGACTTCTCTCATACTTGCGCAGTTAGCCAGGAAAGGCCAAGTTTATCTTACGGAGCTAAAATGTTTCTGTAGAGTTAACTTTATTAATAGTTTCATCACATCTAGCACATAATTCTAGGTTCTAAATCCCAGTGGATGTGTTCATGTTTATCTTTTTAAAATACATGTAGTAGACAGCCTAGTATACATTCCATCACATATATGTTTAGCACCTACTGTGTGTCAGGTTCTAACTTAAGAATTACAAGCAAAGTACCTCTATTTTCAGTTATATTCCAGCTTAATGTTAAGAACAAATACGAGCATTTTGTTTCTATATGTGTATGTGTGTTGAGGATTGTGGGAGAGTACTATGAATGAGTGGGATTATGCTTGTGTTTCTAATCCTGACAGTGATGGAAATGTCTTTAAAAAGTTTCCATGTTTATTGAATTTCTGTGCACTTAACAGATTTGAAATAATTTTGACAATTACATGTTTGACTGTGCTTTTGTAATTACTTATATTTTTCTTTTGAAAGCACCTTTTAGATTATTGTTACTGGACCAAAAAAGATGACATCTATTATCAAATTAACCACCCTCTCTGGGGTCCAAGAAGAATCTGCCCTTTGCTATCTTCTCCAGGTTGATGAGTTTAGGTTTTTGTTGGACTGTGGCTGGGATGAGCACTTTTCTATGGATATTATAGATTCCCTGAGGAAGTAAGTTATATTTTAGATTTCTAGGCTTTTAAATCAACTTTTCAAAAAGATCAAATCAACTTCTCTGTTTTATGCTTTTGTAATACCATTTTGATGTTATATAATGTTGGTATCTTTGTACTAATTTAGTTCATAGTAAAAGAGATTTATGCTAAAAAGTAGTGATCATTGTAACTTGTAACATTTTGACTAACATAGCTTTGTTTATTGAAATTCAGGGTAATCTTACGTAAATTACTTGGCTAATGGGTCACTGAAATTTTGCTCCCTAGTTCTAGGATAGAGCAAGATTTTGTAAAATTTTGAGAAGAGGAACCATGTAAAAGCTCTGAGTTGTGTTGTGCTAGCTTACTTTCTATATCTTTTGATGCTTACCTTATAACTTGGTTCTTAGAAAAATAATGTGGGTCCATATCTACCAAAAAAACTCAGTTAGACTTGCCAAATTTTCTAATTATTAAAGAGAACTTAGTATTTTAAAAAATTTAGAACTTGAAGCAAAAAAATCATTTTGTTAATTTCTATTATCAATGTGAACATGTGTGTCCCTGGTTACTATTTTAATTAATATTATTAAATTTAATTAATAATTTAATATGCTGTCAGTCACCAAGCTAAAAAGTTGGGGCAAAAATATATAATAAATATGTGGCCATTTTAGTATCTCCTCTTTAACAGAGTATAAAATTCTAAGTTAAAGGGTTTTTTGTTTTTGTTTTTTTTTTTTTTGGCTGGTGGTACTGGGATTTGAACTCGGTTATGCTTGCTAGGCAGGTGGTCTGCCAATTTAAGCCACTCTGCCAGCCCTTTTTGTATTGGTTATTTTCAACATAGAGTTTCACAAACTATTTGCCTGGGGCTGGCTTTGAAACTCGATCCTCTTGATCTCTGCCCACTGGCACCAACCTAAGTTGAGTTCTTTAACTTAGGTGAATAGTGTACAAGATAGTCATTCAAGATCAACTTACATGTGGTGTCTACTTTTTTAATGTGTCCAGACAACATATATTTAGGTACACATTATGCCATACTATTGTTACCTCTGCAGAACAGGGTAGTAACAGTTACACTTCATAGGCATCATTATTTTAGCTGTTCAATTTGCTCTTCTACCTCAGCATAGTCATCAGTCCAGAATGGGTGAATGATTCTGACTGTTCTGCCTTTATCCTGAGAAACAAGTCACCTTGGTTGTGTTCTCCTAGGCATGTTCACCAGATTGATGCAGTACTCCTGTCTCACCCTGATCCTCTCCATCTTGGTGCCCTCCCATATGCTGTGGGAAAGTTGGGTCTGAACTGTGCTATCTATGCAACCATTCCTGTTTACAAAATGGGACAGATGTTCATGTATGATCTTTATCAGGTAATCTTAACAATGATGAAAATTTTAATACGCCATCAGTGATCATTTTTGACCTTTTATTTGTGTTATCCTTTTAGTCTCGACATAACACAGAAGATTTTACACTTTTTACATTAGATGATGTGGATGCAGCCTTTGATAAAATACAGCAGCTAAAATTCTCTCAGATTGTGAATTTGAAAGGTAAAAAATGTTTCCGTGGCAAATTGTTGGACTAATTGAGTTTTTGTTTTGTTTTGGTGTTTTGGCAGTGCTAAGGATCAAACCCAGAGCCTCACCCATGCGAGGCAAGCATTATACCACTGAGCTACATCCCTAGACTGGACCAATACAATTTAGTCTTCTGAAAAATACTCAGAATTCATAATAAAATTTATAGGCACAAGAATAAAAATTGCCATTTTCTGCCTTGACATGGCAGAAAATGACTCTAAACTTCCTTTTAGATTAAATACTAACAAAATGTTAACAGCTCGAGCATTTTCATATTTAGCTTGGAAAAGGCTTTAATGTTTATTGTGTAGAATGAACAAAAGTAATGTGCCTGGATCCTCTTTCTTAGAGCTTAACAGTTGGATTTAAGGGACAGAGTAGTCTAAATGTCATAATTGAAGTAAATGAAGTGTTAATGGTAGTAGAGCAGAAAATGACTGACTTGCAAAATTGGACATTAAGATGTTTAATTAGGATGTCTCATATTAAGCCTATTTGTCACCTACAGAGAGCATTGTATTAGAGATTTTCATAACCTTGTACTCTGGCATTGAAAAAAATAGCACAATACTGGATTCTGAGGATTTAGCCAGTAGGCTCAGTGGGTTCAGTGGTTTTGCTTGTATTTAGTGTTTCTATGGGACAAATCCTTTAAGTTATTTTGCTAGTTTAGAGGTTAGCAAAAATGAAAACATTTGATAATTGTATCATATAAATATTAAAACTTAGGGCTGGGAGTATAGCTCACTGGTAGAGCAGTTGCCTGACATATATGAGTGCATTTCATCCCAAGCACCACAAAAAAAAATATTAGTTCATTCTAAGTAATAGGGCATACTAACTTTAAAGTCTAGTCTTCATCCTTCCATTTATAAGCACAAATGTCTCTGTAGGAATGTAATAAAATAGAGTGTTTCCTTCATTTGAGGGAATGGAGTAGCTGGGGATGAGAGAGGTAGACTTGCTTTTCCTTGCATGCATTTTCACTTCCAGATTTTGTGACGTTGCACATGTTACATAGCTTATAAATACAGACTTTCTTTAGGGTTGTAAAAGAAATCTGAATATTGTCATTATCTTCTTGATACAGGTAAAGGACATGGTTTGTCTATCACTCCTCTGCCAGCTGGTCATATGATAGGTGGAACAATATGGAAGATTGTCAAAGATGGAGAAGAAGAAATTGTTTATGCAGTTGACTTTAACCACAAGAGGGAGATGTAGGTATATTGAGACAAAAGCGAAAGGAAATGTGATTGTTATTTCATACTTTGGAGGGAATGCTAGAAGCAACTTCTGTTTTTGTTGTTTTAACCAGAAAGCTAGAGCAATTTAAGAACCTCAAATAATGAATGTTGCTGGGCATAGTGGTGCACGTCAGTAATACCAGCTACTTGGGAGGATCAAGGTTCAAGACCAGCCCAGGCAAAAAGTTAACCAGACCCTATGTCAACTTAAGAAAAAAGGATGTTTTCATTATTATTTGAGTTATAAGGGAAAAAGTTTGATAATAGGTATAAAAGGGATTTAAAGAATTTACATATAAATATCTACTCTATAAAACAGATCTCCCTGGAGCCTAGGGGTGTTTTAAAGGAAGTAAATTTTTAGATACCAAATTATATTTTATATGCTCTTGACTTGTTATTTAACAGAAGTTTTTTTTTTTGGGGGGGGTGTATGTGTGCATGTTCAGTAATTACCATCTAACTTAACAATATGTAATGTCAGATTCCCTTTAAAAGGGGACACAGTAGTTATAACTTTAAATATTTCATTTGGTACAGAATTACCAAAAATTTTTTGGAGTTTAGTCTCAGTCTTCTTTTGTTACATCTGTACATTATTCTAGGTAACAGTAGCCTTAAGATTTTTGCATTAAATATTTGAGACTTAATAAGTTGAATTTAGGTTTTTGTAATTGTGGATTAATGAGGAAAGAATGGATTAGTTGAGTAAATAGTGAATGAATTCAACCATTTTGGAAAAAATCAACTTGCATCTTTATAATATAACAAATTTTAGTTAGAAGTAGATAAAAAAGGAAGCAGTATTGGTAAGTTTGTTCTCTGATTTGGAAGAGTCATGTTAGCATAAAGATAATGGACCAAGATCCAAAAGAAAAGTTTGATAGTTTTGATTAAGTGCAGGTTTAAACTTAACTGAAACAGTAAACTCAATTATAAAGCCAATAAGGTAGGGAAAATATTTGCAGCAAGTTGGTCAAAGATTTACATATATTTATGACTAGGTATTAATCAATGACTCAAAGATATAATCATGGCAAAGTGAACAAAAGATAAATTCAAAAGGAAATTTAAATGACAATTTTTATTAGATACATTAAAATTATTTTTAATTGGTGATATTCTGAAAGTATTTACTGAGTGGTTCTTTCTGGTTGAATCTTTCTGGAAGAGAGAAAATTTTCTGGAAAACCTTAAACCTTTCTAGAAAGCCATTTACAGTACTTTTATATCATAGTAAATACATTTGTAGGAATGTGTTCTAAAGAAACAATCAGAAATGCAACTGAAGCTTTTTATAAAAATGTTCTTTGAAAGGGCTGGTGGCGTGGTTCAAGTGGTAGAGTACCTGCCGTGAAAGCAAGAGGCTTTGAGTTCAACCCCCAACCACCAAAAAAAAAGTAAAAAAGAGACCTCAATATCAATAGTAGGAAATGATCAAATAAATACTGTACACACGTGATAGGTAGTTTATACAGTTGTGAGCCAGATGAGGTATATACCTCTAATGCCTCTAATCACAGCACTCCAGGAGACTGAGGCAGAATTGCAAGTTCCAGGCCAGCCTGGACTACATTGCAAGACCTTGTCTCAAAAAATAAAGTTTTTTATAATTGCTAGAAATTGTGCTTAGAAGGAAGTTTTGTAGTCATGGGGAAAATCCAGAAGACAAAACTGAGTACATAGGAATATGCATGGGTATCTAAATTTTGAAATGCATATGTAGACTGTAGATGCACAGAAAAATAGATATGCTTAGAAGGATATATGCAAAATACTCTACCACTTATCTTGGAGTGGTGGATATTTGTTTTCTCTTCATACTTTTTTAATTTAGCAGATTTTATAGTTAATGTAGAGGGGGAATCTTATAAAAGCAGTTCCTTGTTTTTTAAGAGAAGCTATTTATTTGAAGTGACATGAAATATCTTAATCTTTAAACTTTGTTACAGCCATTTAAATGGGTGTTCCCTGGAAATGCTAAGCAGACCTTCTCTACTTATCACAGATTCATTTAATGCTACATATGTGCAGCCTAGAAGAAAACAGAGAGATGAGCAGCTTTTGAGTATGTATTATATAACGTCCCTTTTAAATAGCTGTGGAAGTGCATGCTAGTATGAATCACTGCTTATTCTATTTAACTTGGTCATAAGAGACTGTATAACTCTAGTATTTGTGAAGAAATATTACATGACTATATCAGTATTTTCTGTAAGGAGATGCTTTTGTGGAACAGACCCAGGGATTGGCTTTTCCCTGCCAGTCAGCATGTACCTAGCTCTCCTAGGCACTCACTGGTAATTGTCTGTGTATAAAGACCTCATATGTATCTATTAGAAGTGCACTAAAAGAAAAATGAACAGAAGAGATAAATAAGGGTGCAAATAGTCTGCTGTTTTGAATGTTGGTGTTTTTCACTCTAATTAGTCATCTTGGTTTTCAGGAGGTGCTTTGGCCCTTTACTGTTTGCTTTTGCTTTGACTCTTGCTGCTTCACTGCATATTCTTTTTACATAAGCCATGTGGGATTTCAACATGGAAAATTGAATTCCACTTTTAAATGTGTTAGCAACCACTACCTTAGTCTATCTACTTAAAAAGTATAATTTGTATAGTGTTTCACTAATTTACTAACTTTAAGAAGCTCTTTGATTCTTGTTTCTTGCTTGTGTTTTTGTGTTTGTTTTTGCTAGTTTGCTTTTACCAAATATTTTCAAGCTGATTTTCATGTAGAGCAAAGAAATCTATTTATAAAGATGTTTTTTGCTGGAAGGGAATATGATCTTTATTTTATTCTATAGGCATATATGTAACATGTATAGTATGTAGTGTGTGTGTGTGTGTTACTATATGTAAATTTGGATATTGGTTGTAATAAACTTCATTTGGGTGGACTGGTGAGTCCAGGATAGCCTGGATTACTTGCATTTGGCCTTGTCTTTTCCTGGTGATACAAACATCATAGTGTTTGATATGAAAAGCATTAGGAATTATTGATTTATAACTTGTCAATGAAAAAGATTGAGAGTTAATAGCAATTTTTTTTCTACTTTTAAGAAGATATAGTTAATAGAATCAAAAGTAGTTGTGGTGACCTGAAAACAATTTTTGTATCTGATTTAGTAATTGCTTTTTTATAAGTTACAGTTTTGTCATAAAAACTGAGAAATAAAGTTAACTTTAATTTTGTAGCAAAGTATTGTTGTGTTCTATAGGAATTTTTCATTCTTATTTTGTAGCAAATGTTTTGGAAACACTTCGAGGAGATGGAAATGTATTAATTGCAGTGGACACTGCAGGCAGAGTTTTGGAACTTGCTCAACTTCTTGATCAGATTTGGAGAACTAAAGATGCAGGACTGGGTGTTTACTCTTTAGCACTCCTAAATAATGTCAGTTACAATGTGGTGGAGTTTTCGAAGTCCCAGGTTTGTTTTCATGTTACCACTTGTCAAGTTGTCGTAAAGAAGCTAGCCACAGTGATTGAGCTTATGGACTATAGTGTATAGTGTCTTAATTGCTATTTGGATTTTTTTCTGAAGGGGTTGTTGATAGTAGGTCTTCATTAACTGTTCACTGTCATGTGTACTTTACATGTATTATCTCATTAATCCATATTTTCTGAAGTGGTTTTTAATTGCTGCTGCTGCTTTTTTTGTTTTTGGTGGTACTTGGATTGAACACAGGGTTTGTGCCTGCTAGGCAAGTGCTCTACCACTGAGCTACATCTCCCAGCTCATTTTAAAATTTTATTTTGACACAGGTCTAGATTAAGTTGCCCAGGCTGGGCTCAAACTTTCAGTCCTCCTGCCACGGCCTCCCAAGTAATAGGGATGACAGGCATGTACCACACGCCTGGCTTAAGTTGCTACTTTTAAAACTCTTGCTATTCTGATCTATAAAATGGGGACAAAAATAGAACCTATTTCATAGGATATAATGTTAGGATCTGTGGTTCTTTTAAATAAGCTCTTTCCCTTGAAATAGCAATCTCTAGGGTAAGATATTCATTTAGAACATCTACACTGCCTTCTCAAAAAGATTTAAGGTGACTTATAAGTGGAACAGTGTGAAATTGGATTTTTAGGGATGAAAATTGAAGTAGGAGGATCTATCTAATGGGGTAAAGAAGCAGAAAATAAGCTCCTTGTCAAAACGGTACAAATTTAAGCAACTATGGGGAAAAAATACATAGAACAAAATAGAACTTGAATTCCTTGACTGTTATAGAATACATTGAAGTATATTCTAATTATTATTACTTTTCTCCCTGTATTAGGTAGAGTGGATGAGTGATAAGTTGATGAGATGTTTTGAAGACAAAAGAAATAACCCATTTCAGTTTCGCCATCTCTCTTTGTGCCATGGTCTTTCTGACTTGGCTAGAGTACCTAGCCCCAAAGTTGTGCTTGCCAGCCAGCCTGATCTGGAATGCGGATTTTCAAGAGATCTCTTTATTCAGTGGTGTCAGGACCCGAAAAACTCCATCATTCTAACTTACAGAACAACTCCTGGGACTTTAGCACGTTTCCTAATTGATAACCCTTCTGAAAAAATTACAGAAATAGAGGTAAGCACTTGTATGCAAACTTAATCTTGAAACTCTTTGGGGAGTACTTTATACATGGTGGGAGAAAATCAGTGACTGAAAATAAAACTTGAAGTTGTTTCAGGACTTTTGTCAGAATAATAGTAGAGAGACGCTTTAATAGCACAAACTTCAGAGCCCCTTAACTAGAGATTCCTATTCTTGAACTCTTCAGTGTACCCACTGGACCTGTCCCCAGAGGGAATATGTGTATACTATATTAATTTCTCTGAAGAGTTCTTTTCCTTACTTGAAATATATTTCTTTTCTTGTAGCCCTCTCATGTAGATACTTTTTTTTTTCTTTTCATGTTTCTTGACTTTGGGTGGAGTGGATGTCCTCCTTATTTTTTATTACAGCTTTCAAGCCATTTTTCTTCCCTTTGTAGTTCATACCATCAGACTTGATAATATGCTAAACTCTCCTTGTTTCTGACATTTACTAATCTCTTGATTATTTTATATCATTCATAGTGACTTTGGACCCTCGTTCATAGCCTTCCCATCCACTCATACTCAGGACTCCTTTCTTGATGGCTTTAGCATCCATGCATATGCTGCGTTTAATGCCTTGGTCCTCTGTGTTCCTGGAAATCTTACTTATAAATGATCTTTTCCTCTACTCTACCTCAGCCATCCAGTCCCACTTTGGTGCTACTCCATATCTCTACCTCACACACCCAGTCCTGATCTTCCAACTGACTTTCTCCCGTGCCAAAAGTCCTTTGGTCCCATTGGGCCTTTTATTTCATAATCCTCACTTTTTACTGTTCATCATCCTTCAAGCTTAGAACCAGTGGTCTATGATTTACATTTTGTAAACACTTTTAATTCTTCTGTTTATATTTTAGTCATCTGGCAAAGCCTTAACCGTAGTTTGTGCCTATTGTCAAGCAGCTTTTGTTATTGGAGTTAAACATGACCATATGCAAAAGGCTTCTCGTCACTTTATGGACTTTGATCTCAAAACACTAGTACTCAGCATTCTGTAGGGTCTTCCTCTTATGAGGGACAAATCTAAGACAATTTTGTACCATATTTCTTCTCTAACATCTGCAACTCGCTTTCAGTCATCTTTATAGCACATGACCTTGGCTCAAATTTAACAGAAGAAGCAGTCAGGAATTCCTTAATCTTATCAATAAGAACTATTTCTGCATTCACATCTGCTGTCTTTTATCGCCTGTTACAGGAGCAAGACAATTAATTAGCTAAATAACCAAGATGCAAAAAGGTGGTTTTGGTTAATAACCAAGCTATCAAATCTAACAGTTTTTCAAAACAAGTCTCATTGACTCATAGCAATTGATACCAGATGGGGAGGGTTAGTAACTCAAGCAAAGTTTTAAATGACTGCTTTTCATTTTGTCCTCATAACAGCCATTTAGAAGAGTGTTGAGTTTGTTAAATTCAGTGATATCCTTGTCTTTATAATTATTTAAGAGAAATACAATATTAGTAACTAAAATCAGATAAATATCACTGCAAATATGGAATTGTCGAGTAAGGATTCCATGCAGGCAGAGCAAAGTGAAATACTGTCTTGGGCTATTTAGTAGCTTTAGAAATACCAAGTTAAAAGAACTCAGAAGTATTTGATGAAGGAATTTCATGAGATGTGAAATACTGAATTTGAAATTTTTAATTATTAGAAATTCAGTTATGACTGATAATGCCTTTTTGTGGAATTAAAAGAACATTAAAAGTTTGAAAACATAGAAAATGTCATTCAGAAGTATCCTAATGAAATCAAAAGCAGCATAAGTGAGAATTGTCAAGATTTTAACTTTTTATAAAGGAATACTTTTGTTCATGATTCTTTTCCTGCTCACCTTCGTGGGGACATTTCTCCTGCAGTTATCCTTTCTCTTCACCATCTCACATGTTTTCCCTCTATTGGATCACATCCAAAACAATGATTACTCTTCTCTATCCCCAGCCTTCCCTTCTCAGTCTTCCTCATGGAAATGGCAGCCCTTTCCACATATTTACTCCATCCAGAAATCTAGAAAATGAAAAATGTTCACTGAAGGATAATATATACTGAAAGGTGCATGTCCTGAGGGTAGTGTATGATAAACTTTCACACATTAAACATGCCCGTCTAGTCTGTACACAGATCAAGAAGTAGAATATTACCAACACCCCCAGCACTCCTTCCTGACCCTCCCCCTCTTCCTCCCAGGAGAGCTACTATCCTGTATAGGTTATTAATGTACAAGTTATTACAGCACTTCTTAACTCCTTACTTTTCTCTCAACATCTACAACCAATGCATCAGCAAGTCTTGTTGACCTGACATCCAGATATATCCTAAATTTGTCTACTTGTCTCTCCACTTCCGTCATCCTAGCCCACACTAAAATGGTCATGTCTGATTCTGGGGTAGTTTTCTAACTGGTTTTTCTATTTTTACCTCCTTAATACTTTTCTTCTCACAGCAGCCACGGACATTTTTTGTGTGTATATGTTTAAAAAAAAAACCAAAAAGCAAAACAAAAAAACACACATAACTTACTACCTTAAACATTTTTAAGTGTATAAGTACAGTAGTGTTAACTTTGGTCCCCACCCCATGCTGCCCTCCAAACTCAATCACCCATGTCAGGCAAGTGCTCTACCGCTGAGCCTCATCTCAACAAGTAGTATTGTTTGTATGTGCATTGTCGTACCACAGGGCTCATGAACTTTCTCATTGGCAAAGCTACAACTATCTCTATTGAAAAACAACTGCCAAAGAAATCTTTCAAACTTTCATCATTTCATGGCACTCCCATGTTTAAGATTTCCTGGAGGCTTCCTTCTGCTTTTTAAATCTTTTTATTTTTTTTTTCAGCTAATTATTTTAATTTTACTTTTGGCAGCACTGGAATTTGAATTCAGGATCTCACATTTGCTAGGTAGATGCTCTACTGCTTGAGCAATGCCCCATTGCTTTTTGCTTTTTTAGTTATTTTTTGAATAGAGTCTCAAGTGTTTAACTAGAGTTGGCCTGAGACCACAATCCTGCTACTGTGCCTCTTAAGTAGATGGAATCACAGGCACATATCACCATGCCTGGCTTGTTGTTTGAGATGGGTCTCACTAACTTTTTACCCAAATCATCTTGAACTACAATCCTGTCCAGCTCCACCTTTAGATCCTTCCATCTGTTAGCCATTACAAATGGCTAGGGTTACAGGCATGCTCCACTATGTCCAGACAGTTCTTTATTTTTAATATGTCAGCACTGAACTTTTTAATTATTTTATTTTGATATCACTAGGGTTTAATGCAGGGCCTCGTGCTTGCTAGGCATACCCCTTGACCCATGCGTCCAGAGTTTTTCTTTATTTTTATTTTTAGCTGATACACAAAAAAAGTTGTACATGGTAATGGTGTAGGATTAAGAACTGTCTTTTCTGTCAAAATAGCCTAACCAAGCAAACTACTGCTATCTTGAACCAGTAGCCATTTTAGTTTCATAGACTTAGTTTCATTTTCTTAAGTTTCATATACCTACAGCCTTGAGTTTCATTTCCTTGCTGAGCTGTAAATGTCAGTCCCTCCCCTACCCCAAACAATAGCCAGTTGGGAAGAGTTGTGAACCCAAGTGTGGAACAGTCCTCATGAGGGGCAGGGTTGCATTAGGAATAAAACCCAAGTGGACTTCCCACTCTGTGTGCTTGCTTACCAGACTTCTAGTTGGTCGCACACCCTTCTGCAGAAGTAAAACTTTTTGCCTTCCCAAATGACTCTCTTCTTCTGATCACCATTTGGGAGTCCTGAGACCCCAGAGTTTTTATTTCTAACAACGGGATAACATGCAATACTTGATACATGTGTGCATTGCATGTTTAAATCAGGTTAAACATAATTACCTCCTCAAACATTCTTTCCTCAAGTTTTCAAAATCCTTTCTTATAGCTTTTGGAAAGTATAGCACAAAATTGTCTATAGTCACCATACTGTACAATAGTACCCCAGAGCTTCTTTCTTCTATCTGTAACTTAAAACCCATTGGTAAAACCTCCTCTGTCCCTAATCTCTGGTAACCACCATTATAGTTTCAACTTCTATGAGATCAATTTTAGATCCCACATGAGTGAGATCGTGTATTTTTTTTTTCTTTCCATGCTTGGCTTATTTCACTTAGCAAGATCTCTGTTTCTGTCTGTGTTGTTGCAAATAACAGGATTTCATTTTTTTTTTTTATGGCTGAATAGTATTGTGTTGTACATATAGACCACATCTTTTGTCCATTCAGTTGATGGACACTTAGGTTGATTCTGTCTGTTAGCCATTATGAATTATGCTGCAATGAATGTGGGAGTGCAGATGTCTCTTCAACATACTGATTTCATTTCCTTTAGATAATAGACCAGGTAGTGGAATTGCTAGATTATATGATAGTTATATTTTTAACCTTGAAGACCCTCCGCATTTGCCATAATGGTTGCACTAACTCACATTACCACCAACAATGTGCAAGGGTTCCCTTTTCTCCACAACCTCATCGGCATTTGTCACCTTTTTTCATTTGAGAGTAGTCACTCTTACTGGGGTAAGGTAATATCTCATTGTGGGAGGGACTGGGCTTTGAACTCAGGGCTTTGTACCTGCAAAGCAGACATTCTTCTGCTTGAGCCACACCTCCAATTTATTTTGCTCTGGCTATTTTGGAGATGAGGGTCTCTCAAACTATTAGCCTTGGCTGGTCTGGAACCATGATCCTCTTAATCTGTCTCCCTAGTTGCTAGAGCCACAAGCACCTGGCTCTTACTGTGGTTTTGATTTGTGTTTCCGTGATGATTAGTGATGCCAAACATTTTTTCATGTACCTGTTGACCATGTGTATGCCTTTTGAGAAATGTCTGTTTTGGTCTATTGCCTATTTTCTAATCAGGTTTATTTGGTTTCTTGCTATTGAGTTTTTGGCATTCCTTACATATTCTGGTTATCAACCCCTTGTCAGATGTATACATTGCAAATGTTCTTTCTCGTTCTATAGGTTTTCGCTATGCTTTGTTGATTGATTCCTTTGCTGTGGAGAAGCTTTTTAGTTCCCTTCAGCTTTTTGAATAAAATGCATATTCCTTATCCAGGCTCTCATGATCCACATGATCTGATCCCCATCTACCCTAGCTTGTTCCACCTTCTGCATTCACTGTACTACATCAGGAGGGTAGCACAGGCTGTTCTGCCTGTGACAGTCACCTGGCTTCATGCTGACTGACTCTTTGTCATGTAAGTCTCGTTTAAAGGGCCTCTGTCTATGAATCTAACATAACTCCCCAGTGAGTTACCAAACTATGACCTTTTACTATTTTTCCCAGCACTCATCACTGTCTGATGGGTTCTTTGTTGTTTTCCCCTTCCTACCACCAAATGAATACAAGTTTCCCGGAGAAAAGGGTTTTTTTTTTTTTTAATGTCCTTCTTACCCAGAACAGTGCATAACCTATTAGAGGCCCTTAGTAAATGTGTTCATTGAAATCATGGATGACTAAAAAAAATGAATATGTAATACACCAGATTTCTGATATGTTAGACAAAGAGTTTGCTGTGTGTCCTATTTTTTCATCTACATTTTTAAAGATTTAACTCCTGAGTTAAATCTTACTCATTTAGAAAGTGCAAAAACAGTACATGAATAAGGATTAATAGGTTAAAATAGATTAAGATTAGGAAAAGACATAATTTGGAGGTAATTTAGTGAAGGAGTAGGTAGAAAAATATCTATCTTAGGGTTGAGTCAGAAAATAGAATTGTTTTTGTAAAGATATGTTATTAGTATATAATAGTATTATAATAAGTATTTTTAAAATTTCTTAGTTTTAATTCTGATATGGTAGAGTCTAAATATAGAGAGTCTATAGTTAGTATAGAGATAAAGGTATGAGAACTATGGATTTATTCTTGCATATTGATGGATTTTAAAGTTTTTCCCAGATTTTTACTGTTAGAAACATTGCTGTAAATTTTTGTTTTTCTTTTTGCACCACTCCACCAGCCCTTTTGTGATGTTGTTTTTCTAGATAGTGTCTTGAGAACTATTTGCTCAGGACTGGCTTCGAACCGTGATCTTCCTGATCTCTGCCTCCTGTGTGGCTGGATTACAGTTGTGAGCTACCAGCGCATAACACGAATTCTTTTGTTCGTTTCATGCATTTTTGCGATGGTTTTAGTAGGATGAATTCTTAGAAAATAGGAAATCTGTGTCAAATGACAAGCACATTCTTGTATTTAGATGTTAGCAAATTGCCTTTTAAGAGAGTTATGCTAATTTTCAGAGTGGACAAAGGTGTACCTTCTTCATAGAGTAATTAGCATTGCCAATCTTGTAAATTTTTAAAAAAATTGTATTAGCTTTTTTATATTTTGCCTTTTCCAAAAATCATTAATAAAATCAGATATTTTTCCATGGCTACTAGTTATTTTCTTATTTTGGCAATTGCCTTTATATATATTTTGTCCCTTTTGATGTGTTACCTTTTTCTTGATTTGAAATGCTCTTAGGAAAAAGTAGGTTCTGATAGTAATAGTGCTACCAGTATTTTCCTTTTAATGTTATGAGATTTGAAACATTGGAGATCTTATTTTTTCATGTTGCCATATTTATTCATCTTTTCTATATTGACTTTATGGCTGTTGGGTTTTATGTGGCTTCATCTACTCCAAATTATGAAAGTACTTAATTTGTATTTTCTTGTCCAGATTGACTGGTGCCTTTTAACCAGTTTGATTTAAATCCACTAGATATGTCAGCTTAATTTTAGTACTAATCTAGTAGGATCTGTAACTGCATGTAATGGAAATTTGATTAATTTCAAAGGGAAATTTAGTTTAAAGATGATGAATCAATTTAGAGATGTGCTGTATCTTATGCCCTGCTCCTTTCATCCTTAAATTGACGTTTACTTTGCTCTTTTTTTGTTAGTTGAGGAAACGTGTGAAGCTTGAAGGGAAAGAACTTGAGGAATACCTGGAAAAAGAAAAACTAAAGAAAGAAGCCGCTAAAAAACTTGAACAATCAAAAGAGTGAGTTAAAGTTTATGTTTATAACGTGAAAAGAATGTATCTGTAAGACTCATTAGCATTCAGTTGAAAGTATTTAATGGGGCATGGTGGCACAATCCCATAATCCTAGCACTCAGAAGGCTAAAGCAGGAGGAACATGAGTTTCAGGCCAACCTAAGCTACATAGTGAGAGCATCCCAAAAAAGCCAAAATAAAGCAAAAAAGGAAATACTTAAATTTCCTTAGAACTGCATTACTTTTTGTTGTATCTTTCAAGTGACTAAAACACCATGTCCTTTCAGTGCTAGGATTAATATGTATTTATTTATTAGCTGGCAGTTAATGTTATGTTTTATAAAGTACTGATTCCCTTATATTGAATATTGTTGCATTATAACTTGAATTAATATTAATTACTAGTAGCGTATATTAATTCAGCAATGATTTTATGACGTATTCCAAAATCCTCACAGGGCAGATATAGATTCCAGCGATGAGAGTGACGTGGAGGAAGACATTGACCAGCCATCAGCACACAAGACAAAACATGACCTGATGATGAAGGGTGAAGGCAGTCGTAAAGGAAGTTTCTTCAAACAGGCAAAAAAGTCCTACCCTATGTTTCCTGCCCCAGAGGAAAGAATTAAATGGGATGAGTATGGAGAGATTATCAAGTATGTGAACAAAACAAATTTTTCTTTCCTACAAATTGGAGGTGTTATTTTGACTTAGTGAACTTGATCTTTCTGGTCACTGTCATACACTTTGTTTCTGGATACCTTGCCTTGGCTTGGAAGATAAAGACTTACAGTTTAAAATATAAAAAATAGAAATGTTGAACATACAGAGAATTGATAGGAAGGAAAAAATTGATAATTTTGTTAGTTTCCTGAAAGATTTAAAAAGATAGACTTTCTCCATTTAAGAGCTAAGGGACATGCCTTGGGGAAACTTGATGGTGATTCCCTTAGTTTAAGAAATGGGTTATGCCCGGCTAGTCTCAAATTCCTGGGCTCAAGCAGTCCTCTTATCTCGGCCTCCCAAGTAGCTAGAATTGGCATTGAGCTATTGCCCTGGACTTGTTGTTTTTCTGTATTTCTTGTACTTGCTTTGTACTTCCATAATGCTGTCTTAAGCATATAGTACACTAAGACTTTCTTGGGTTAAATGGGGCAAATTCCATTGTCTACTTGGCCCTGTAATCTCTTGTACATTTTTGTACTTTCATAATGCTGCCTTGAACATGTAATTACCATAGGTTGTTCTTGGGTGTAATTTTGAAATTCTGTTGTCTACTTTGGCCCTCTAAGGCAATAGGAAGAAAACAACAGTTTAATGCTGGTGAGTTTACCTACAGTTCCACTTAACAAATGACCAGTCTGCTTAATATATGGACAGTGAAAATGGGCATGAGAATTAAATGAGGTTGTGGGTTTTTTGATTTTGGTTTTTGACACGGGCAGTTGTATGACCCCAGAGCCTCATGCATGCTAGACCAACACTCCACCACTGAGCTATACTCCACCCAGCCCATGAGGTTGTGTTTTCTAGCATAGAACCTGACTCATAGTAAGTGTGCAACCAGTAGTTGCTATTGCTGTTGTTATTCTGTAGAGTTAGAGATGTTGGGCTGCACAGCTAAGAAGCTGCTGCACAGTCTATGTGTTTGGGAAGAGAGACCTGGATTCTCAGAGAGGAGTGGAGTGGTTCTATGAGTGAGCTTATATACAGTTATAGGAAGTTAAAGAATGTTAAAAGCAAGTTGTTTGTTTGTGTTTTACTTTTAACTAGCACTGTGATATCAGGAGTAAAGATAGGAAGTGATATGTTAATAGTACATTGAAATAAAGATGAAGGCTTATGAGGGAGCTAATGATTGTTGTTTCTCAGTCTTCTCAATAATGTGCAAGTAGAGAGTCATCTGCTTTCTTCATGCAAAAAGAAAATAACTGGGGAGGTGTCTTAAGTATATCAGGGGACTTCTAAAATTTATAAGTATTGAAATTTGGTGAAGACAACCATAGAAATCAACAAAGTATAATTTTAAAAAGGAATGCAGGGCCAGATTACAAGAGTACTTGTAATAGCCACTGAGATCTTCTAATGGGCTGTCTAGTGAGCCTTTCACTAGTTCATGCTGTGTGTTCGAAGAGCACTTCTTAGTAGTTATGAAAAACATTACATATATGTATTTGTATGTGTACATATATGTAGTCATCTGATAATTGATGCTATGAAATTGCATTGATTTGGGGTCAGTTGTATATTTAAGTCTTTTTCATGTGAAGAACCTAAGTGTTATGTTGCCTACTATGTTATATGTGTTAGACACATATAACATTAGCTTGCTCTTTACTACTTCTAACTGGAGACTTATTATTTAGACCAGAAGATTTTTTAGTGCCAGAGCTTCAAGCTACTGAAGAGGAAAAAAGCAAATTAGAATCTGGTTTGACAAATGGAGATGAACCCATGGATCAGGATTTATCTGATGTTCCTACTAAGTGCATTTCTACAACAGAGTCTATTGAAATAAAGTAAGTGATTTTGTTGCATTAGGAAAATAAATTACAAAATTTTAAGCCCTTGAACCTATATAATTTACATTGTTTCCAATGTGAAATTTCTGATTATCCTATAATTAAGTTTATGCTTTAAAAAATTTAACTTCCTTTTCTATGAAAAGACTTGTGAAGTACAGTGGTTTTTTTCTCTCCATTAACAATATTTGAATGCCTAAGTAATTGAGTTAGCGGTGGGAGGGGAAGGGAGTTGACCATTAAATTGTATATTTATATGAAGAAACATTATTTCTGCCCTTTTTATTAAGTCTAATAGTAGGTGAGAAAGAATAGTGCAACTCACAAACTTTAATTTTTCTGTTTAACTGCTTGTTTAATACTCCTTAAATATCTCTAATGCTCTTCTGTGTAGAAAATTTAATATGACTGGAAGTAGTTAAGAAACCTTCCCCCCCCCTTTCTTCTTAGTATTCATAATAATACCGCTAAATGATTATTTTGGATTTTTTTTTTTTTTGACTCTTCAGAAAGCTAAGTTGTTTATTTATTCAGTGATATCTTCTATATATATTCTTGGGTAGAGATAAGGTGTAAATAATACATATTAATATAACTTATTTCTCAAATCCTCATTTTATAGATTGTATGTATTTATTTCCTGATGATAAAATCCATTTTTAAAAAGCCTTGTTTTAGAATTATCAGAAAAGTAAGCTTGCATTATCATGTTTGATTACAGAGCCAGGGTTACTTACATAGACTATGAAGGACGCTCTGATGGAGATTCTATTAAAAAAATCATTAATCAGATGAAACCACGACAGTTGATCATTGTCCATGGCCCACCAGAGGCAAGTCAAGACCTGGCAGAGTGCTGCCGCGCATTTGGTGGGAAAGACATTAAAGTGTACATGCCAAAGCTACATGAAACAGTCGATGCCACTAGTGAAACACACATCTACCAGGTAAATATGGAATACAGGAGTGAATGAGATAGACATGGAACTCTGCCCTAGCACAGTTTAAACCCATAGTCCATGGAGTTGAAACAAGCAAATAGCATTTCCCAAGTGGCATACCTCTAATAGAGGAAGTGTAGGATGGCATGAGAGTGTAAAGAGGAGGGTCCTGACCCAAATTTGGCAGGTTAGAAAATGTTTCCTAGAAGAAGTAATAACTTAGCTGACTCCTGCCTAATGGATGTTTAAATGGGTTTTCAGAATGAAAGGAGCAGGAAAGAAAGGGCCAAAGGGAACAATATTTGTAAAAGAGGTGAAAGGAATAAGTATATAAAAATTGAAAAATTCAAAAAACTTTACAGGTGTCAAGGTTCTTCCCCTAACTGAGAAAAATGCAGACAGGTTCAGAAGCTAGGACGAGCATACAGGAAAGATGAACTCTTAATCTCATTGTGGGAGATAGTGACAGTTTAAGGTAGGTGTGAGGTCTATATTTGGAAGAAATGGCTGAGAACTTACTGGGCAGAGCAAAAGGAACATTCCAAGAGCATGGAGGTGTGAGAGCACATAGATTCAGAAAAGAAGCTCTACTCTGAAGTACGCCAGGTACCAGAGCAGGGAGACCCACCAGCAGTTCCCACCCAGCTGCACATGAAAAACATTCAGGGCTCTCTGCTCTTAAGCTCACTAGTTACAGATACTGGAGGTGAGGCCTTGGTGTTAATACTGAAAAACATTTCCATGTGATTCTTCTATGCAGTCAAGGTTAAGAATCTTTACTTTGGAAAGTAGACAAGGACCCTTTGGATCGTAACAGATAATTAGGTCATTATAGCTCATTATGAGTATGAGATGAGTGAAAGATTCTCAATTTTTAATCACGTTCCCAGAGTTAGAAAATGACAATAAGAGGTTATGTTCATTTATTTCTCTCCATCCCCTTTGCATATCCAGGTGAGATTAAAAGACTCACTTGTCAGCTCCCTTCAGTTTTGTAAGGCAAAAGATGCTGAATTAGCATGGATAGATGGTGTCTTAGATATGAGAGTTTCCAAAGTGGATACAGGAGTTATTTTAGAAGAAGGAGAACTCAAGGATGATGGAGAAGACTCCGAAATGCAAGTGGATGCTCCTTCGGATTCTAGTGTAATAGCCCAGCAAAAGGCCATGAAAAGTCTGTTTGGAGATGATGAGAAAGAAACAGGGGAAGAAAGTGAGATCATCCCTACTTTGGAACCCTTGCCACCTCATGAGGTAAGAAAGCCTTGCTTTTAGCTCTCTTTGAATTTATTGTCTTCTAGTTTTCCTTTTGTGTTTTTAACCATTTAAAATGTTTTTGTAGATTTACTTTGGAGTTCTTAAAGATTATTCAAGACATGTTTCTGTGTGTGTGTACTAATTCTCCACTGCTAGGGAATGATAACAATTTAAAGGAAACCTTTACTAAATCTTTTAAGGTATACAATTATTTCACGATTTGTTTTCTCTCTATGGATTTTTTTAAATTATCATATTGTATGGAGTATATTGTGGCATTTACAAAAGTGCTTATAATACATCATGGTTGAATTCACCCCCTTCAACATTCTCCTTTAGCCCCTTCCCCCATTCTTAGAATAGTTTCAACAGGCTTCATTTTTCCATTTTCATACATGAGTACATAATATTTCCATCATATTCACCCTTCCACACCTTTCCTTATATCATCCCCCGTCACCAGTACCAACCCCCAGGCTCAAATATGGATTTTTCAATATCAAATTTGAGGGTGAGGATCACCTACTTGCTTCCAGTCAGGAGATTTGTGGTTTTCTAAGAATATCATACTCATACTCTATTTTTTTTATATTGTCAGTTCAGTTTAAATCACTTTTGTTTTTGATAGTTAGAAACCCTTTATATTTAAGTATAGCTGTAATCCCAACCTACTATTTGTATGTTCTCAGGAAGGACTAATTAATTAGAAAAGATTTTAGGTAATGAAACGGACTAGTCCCACATGCTTGTCAAGTGAAGTCTTCAGCCCTGCTATAGACTAGAGAGAGAGCCCCTGTCATTGGATTTCCTTCTACTACTACTCTTGAAGTTGGGAGAAAGAATTAGAATCTTTTTTTCTGTCTGTGCTAAAGCTAGTGCTGGTCAAAGCAGTTTCAGAGTATTAGCATTAGGCAAGACCCACTTTCCTTTCTGATTTTAAACCCCTGGTATCCATTGAATTCACTGTGACGGAGGTGGGAAAATGGAAGTGGGTTGGGAAGGATTATCCTCTGAACTAAGCAAAGCGCTGGGATGTGGAAAATGAGTTCTTGAGTCAGTTCTGCCTCTTGGCACTCTAGCTGACCCTCTCCAAGTGGGTGAAACATTACCACATGTCTCTGTTATTAGGAGGCATGACTAATAACATTTTGAAACATCAGAAAATGTGAAGGGTTTTGTAATGTTAAGTAATGAGGTAAAACCCAGAATAACAAATTTGGAATGTGATTTACAGTCTTAAGATGATCTGTCAAAGGATGTCAAGAAGTATCTGCTTGACCTTTCTAAGAAAAGGTTCTTCTTTTACTCTAAGCTTTTGTTGTTTTGTTTTGTAACATACAAAAAACTCTGCCAGAAAAACTGAACATGTATTAGATTTTGAAAATGTAAATAGAGGGCAGGGGTGTGTGCCTCGCATGCTCAGGCTCTGGGTTCGAACCCTAGCACTGTAAGTAGAGACTGTTTTTCTGTAAGTAGAGACCATTTAAATAGTCTCTACTTTTTGGCTTTCAGAGTGCTACAGGTCCTACCATGTGTACAGGCCCAAGAAAGAAGGCGATAAGTTTCCTTTACAGACCCTTCTCTGGAAGGGCTTTTTACTTGAATAAAATAATGCAACTTAGCAAACCAGTTCATGGCCTTAGAGAAACATGTTTGCATGCATTCTTGCAAACTGTTTCTTGATATTTTCTGGAATGAAAAGGGAGAATTATTTAGAAAAAACGTGCTGAAGAAAGAAAGAAAAGACAGTTTTTTGAGTTTAGGTGTTAGGTTGAAGAAAACTGAAGCATATGTGCTCTGACTCCTTTGAATCCTGAGTGCAGTTGTTTTCACAAGGGGGAAGATATGATCCACACCTGTATTTGCCAGTGATTCACTCTAGTGTGAGGTAGTCCACATTTTGTTTAGAAATCTTTTTCTCCCGTTTTTTATTTTAATAAGATTTTGTTGTTCAGTTTGAATTATAACATCCTCATTTGAATATGTCATTCAAAAGAAAGCCTTGATGATGTGTCATAATCCTAAGGGTTCTGAGTACCTTTAGACAGATCTTAACTAGCAGCTAAGTTATTGCATTTGAAACGGTTTAGTGTTCTATTTTTAAGAAAACAAATTGAACCTCACATTTTTACAAGGTAACAGTATAATTAAAAGGTGTAAGTTATTTCATCTTTCAGGCTTGCTTTTACCTAAGCAGTGATTGGATTTTATGCACATTACTATAGACATAGTACTGAATTTGATAGGATTCTCCTTTGCTGTCCTCAATGCTGTAGAAGCAGCTTGTGTTCAAGAGTAAAAATTGAATATATGCAATTTTCATTGAACTGAATGAACACCATGTTGTCCTATTGTAATGTGTTGATGATTTTTTAGAAAGTAACTTAATCATGGCAGACTTTGATGCTTGTTTCTTAGGTGTTTAAGCCCTTCTCTTTACACTTAGCATTTATCAGGGCATCAGTCTTCTGGTTAACTTAGATGGAGTGTGTATATTTCAACTCGGTGACATCAGACTGGAATTAATGTTGCATTCTTTTTCAAATGCTCAGAAAACTTCTATTGTGAATTAAATTACTGCAAACTTTACAGTTCTCTGATACTAAAAAACAGTGTTTCGCAAGATGAATACATAAACAGTATGTTTTCTTCTTAGCGATTCAAACCCAGTTTCTCTTAAACTCTTATTACTGTATTCTATTTATGTTCCAGGGGAAAGAAAGACTGAACTTATTTCATGATTTAAAACATTTAACTATATATATATTACACCGTAATGCCATATTTAAAAAGTTATTTCTTGCCTAGCCTTTCTATTGTCCTCTGAACAAGAATTAAATTTTTATAGTACTGCTTGAAGTGTCACTGGAAGAGCAATACTTTCATCCATTTCTAGATGACAATTCCTGAAATGAAGACTTTGTCATAGCCTCGCTTACTTAAGAAAAATATAAATTTAAAAAACAATAGTGAGATTAAATCATGAACTCAGAAATTTTTTTTTTTTTTTTTTTTGGTGTTACTGGGGTTTGAACTCAGGGCCTCATGCCTGCTAGACAGGTGCTCTACAACTTAAGCCAATCCTCCAGACCTCAGAGAAACTTTAGATCTTTATTTTTTGCAAGAATAAATACAATATATGGTTTATCACCTGATAACTGCAAATGATTTTGTTAAAAGGAAATTTCAGCCAGTTGTGGTGATCCTTGCCTGTATCCCAGCACTCAGGCAGGAAGACTGAGTTTGAGGCCAGCCTGAGCTCCATAGTGAGACCCTGTCTCAAAAAAAAGAAAGAAAAAAAATTTTTATTGCATTTGTTGTAGTGAGATTATACATGCCAGCTATCTTTGCAATTATTTCCATATTTTCATGACCCTGTAGGTGACCTGAAACAGAAATGAGGAAATCAATTTTTTGAGGAAGACCATTTGTCATTTCTTTTTCTCAAATTGAGGTATAATTCACATACCATAAAATGTTCATTATTTTAAAACATACAATTCATTGGTTTTGTATATTCACAGATGTGCAACCATTACTACTATGAAATTCCAGAACTTATTCATCATTCCAAAAAGATACCCCACTAGCAGTTACTCCCCATTTTCCCTCTCTTTAGCCTCTGTCAGTCATTAATCTGTTTCTATGGATTTATCTCTTCTGGACATTTCATAAAAATGGAATCATGCAACATGTGGCCTTTGTGTCTGACTTCTTTCATTTCACGTAGCATAATGTTTTCAAGGTGTATTGATGTTGTAGCGTGTATTGGTATCTTTTTGTTTTGAAACTTGTCTTGTTATGTAGCTCAGGCTGACCTTGAACTCATGATTCTCCTGCCTTAGCCTCAGTGCTGGGAATACAGGTATGTACCACCACACCTGCAGTATCCCTTTTATGGCTGAGTTATATTCCATTGTGTAGATTCCATTGTGTGTACTACATTTGTTTGTCCATTCATCAGTTGGTGAACCTTGGATTATTCCCAATTTTCAGCTATAAATGAAGAATGCTGCTTTGAACATTCATGTACAAGTTTTTTTGAGTGAACTTAGATTTTTAATTTTCTTGGGTACCACCTAGGAGAATTGCTAGAGTGTATGGTAGCTCTGGTTAACTATTTGAGGATTGCCAGGCTGTTTTCTGTAGTGTCTGTACCATTTCACATTCCCACCAGCATATGTATGAGGGTCCATTTTCTCCACATCCTCACCAACATTTGTTACTCTCCATCTTTTTTTTTTTTTTTTGCCACCCTAGTCCATATAAAGAGGTATCTTACTAAGGTTTTGAGGCAGAAGTCTAACTTCATTTTTTTTTTTTTGCATGTGGATATCTAGTTTCAACATCATTTATTGAAAACCATTGACTTATTTTGCCACATTTGTTGAAAATCAGTTGACCATAAATATGAGTTTGTTTCTGGATTCCCAATTCTATTTCACTGACCTCTGTATAGCTATCTTTATGCCAGTAGCACGCTGTCTTGATTACTTTGTAGTAAGTTTTGAAATCAGGAAGTGTGAATTCTCCAACTTTGTTTTCATTTAAACATTGTTTCATCTGTGCTGGATCCCTTGCATTTTCATATGACTTAGAATCAACTTATCAGTTTCTGCAAATAACCCCCAAAAACCTCACTTCAAATCTTAAAATGTAAGAGCCTAAAGGGACCATTGAACTCATGTAGTTCAGCCCACTTGTTTTAGTATTGAATGAATGAGCCTGTGAAATGGAAAGGGTATGCTTGAGCTGCACATAGCTAACTAACAGCAAAGTTGGAGTTGCAACCCAGCCTTGTGGAATCCAGTTCCTAGACCCGCATGTTATTACAAACACCTGCAGTTGCACCACTCAGGAGGCTGAGGCAGGAGGATCACAAGTTCAAGGCCAGCCTAGGCTACATTGTGAGACACTCAAAAAATTAAAAAAAAAATCCAGTCCTTTCTACTCAGTTTATTTTGCTTGGAGTATTATGTTCCGTGCATCTGCTCTGAGAGTGGCAACTATTAGAACCACAGCACATGGAGAAAGATTGATTTCCATTCTATATTGTGACAGTAAAGGTGAGCAGTACTAAATGTCACCTGTACTTTTCTTTGTAGAGTTCCAGAGTTTTATCCCAAGGTTATTGTCCTTTG